TTTTTTTTTTTTTTTTTTTTTTTTTTTTTAATGGCAGCTGTAGATTTTACACTAGGTTTTATGATGGGCTATAATTTTTTAACAAAATAAATATGCAGCTGGTGAACAGATATTAGCCAGGCAACAGTCAGCTTCTGTCCTGAAAAGGCCAATTCAGGTACGACGTTTGATAATGTTCATGTGGAAAGGGTGTGTATGGTAATACCGGGGAAGGAAAACAAACAGGATGGAGCATACTCCATCATGCTGACAAAGACCTGGATTGTACATGCTGGGGTGCAAATAGGATTGTTTGCATATTCAGCTGACTCTATCTTCCCTTTTCCCCATCCACGAGTATTGGCGGTGCCTGAGCTCCTTGGGGAGCTGTTTGAGTTGGGGGGACAAATGTGCACGGGGGAGGGGGGCAAAGGAGCACATGGAAGAGGTCTGCAAGCAGAGGGGGTGCTGCTTTGGGGGGCTACAGTGGAAAGGGGCTAGCTGGTGAGATAAAGATCCGGGGGTGGGGTTTATTGGACTGAATGTAGGAAGCTAAAAGTGAGCTTGTCTGACAGCTTTCCTTTTATATCCCTCACATGCAGCTCATCCCATCCCAAACTAGACAGCAAACAACACATCTGAATCATGCTCCAGTGCAAAGTAAAGGTCCTGGGTTTGATTTTTTTTTTTTTTTTTCCTTTTTCCTTCTCTCAGCTGTCAAGAATAAAGCTGAACTGAGGGGGAAAGGAGCATTTATCCCCAGTGGGTAAATAGAGGAAAGCTGAAATGAAGGATTTTCTCCAGCCATAGCGCTCCCCAGGCGACAAACCCCACCTCTGAGTTTCCAGTAAACGTATCGGGACTACAAAGCAAACAAATCAAGAAATGTCAAGGTGTATTTACTCTCCTGTTAACCTGCTGCTCTGCACCCTCTCTGGCACACGTTGGCAACATGCCAGGGTGCACCCCGATGCTGTGTCCTGGGAAGGGGGCACAGCTGCGAGCCCGGCTGGGGAGAGGTGACTGAATGAGGATGTGGCTCACATCTCCCACTCTCCAGCCATCACAGCATGGAAAAGGGGTGATAGAGGGGATCCCATATTGGGAATAGTGGTGCTTGGGGGCTGTGCCAGCCCTTTGCACTGTCTGCTCTCAGTGAGGCAGAAAACTGGTTGTAAAGGGGAACTCACACACACCTGTTTGCAGCTGAAGCCAGAGGAGGCTTATGTTAGAGGTCACCGGGACTCGACTGCTGTTCAATATTGGCTGCGAGTGAGATGGGTTTCCTGAATGCCATGTTTTACTTGTTGACATATCCAGAACCTCTGGGAAAACCTTTTTCAAATAAGCTTGTCTTCAAGCTTTTTGCAGGTCTTTTTTTTTTTTTTTTTTTTTTTTTTTTTGGCAATCACAGCATTTTGATGAAGTTGCCTCTTTTAGCCTCTTGCTTCATAGCACTTGGCCTTCCTGAAGAATCAAGGAAACACTGATAAATTGAGTGTAGGAGACTTGCCTGCTGTTCCTTTCCCCGTCTAGTGTTCCTCCATGCGCTGCCCCCTGAGCGTGTCCTGCCCCTAGTCGCTCTGCTAACTTGTCTCTACTTATAACACTGTATAGAAAACACAACCAGGCGCTTTTTGCTCTGATTAAAATCATGCTGTGTAAAAGAAAATACAAATTAGCTCTGGCCTTTGGGTTCCTGACAAGTTTCCAGGGCCCACTTTCAGCACCACAGAGATTGTGTAACTCTGCATCCTCCATGCAGTGACGTCCCCCATCCGTCATGAGCTGGGCTGGCTGCTGCACATCCAGGCTCAGCTCTTAATACTTCAAGCAGCTTTTAGCACTGAAGGAGGAAGAGAGGTTGCCAGCAGCCGGGTGAAATGCAGGAACTTGATTTTTCTTGCTAGGGGACAATGATGTGGGAAGGGATAAAAGGAGGAGGATTTCCTGGGTAATTCCCCAAATCCTGATGCTTGTGCCAATACCTCTCGGTAAGCCCAGTGCAGAGAGAACTAATGTTTCAGATTAACACCTGAAGGAAAGGAAGAGTACGGTAGTATCTTACATAAACCATGGCTTAAGTTTGCCAGATCTTTAATGCAATGAAGCACAGGGAAATTTCCTGCCTCCTCCAGGGATTCAAGCCAGGTACACTACATTACACCATTTAGGAGCTGCTAACAGAAGGGCTGAGGCTGCAGCTATTGCATCAAGTTTTCAGCAAAAACCTTTAAGTCTCGTCAACTTCCTCCAAGGACTCTGAATCAAACACTGTCCAGACCCGCAAGTGAACAAGTTGCAGATGACATCGCTGGTTCGAAACAGCGCGTGGGCATGACGTGGGCGAATGTTCCCTGCACTGGGTGTTTTCTAAAGGTCTCTGAAGCATGAGGCATGACTGAATGACTTGTGTTTTCTTTAAATGACGAGTGGGTGAATCCTGAATCGTTGGGCTGTATTTTTGTTAGGTGTGTGTGGGCTGACAACATGACTCAGTATTTTCTCCGCAGATGCAAAGATCATATTGCCAATTCTGGGTATGCTTCGGGCAGTTTCATGCAGAGAACTGGAATGCTTTTTTAGTCTGGAGCTTTGCTTTTTGGCAGCTTTAAGTCTCTAGATGTGAAAATAAATAAGTAATTTTAAAAATGAATGCTTTTTCCAAATGTACAAAAATACACTGAAGAAATGACCAAACATGGGGAAATTACCTCTACCCCCATGCTTTCCCCACAATTTATCTGATTATTTTCATGTTATTCTGGAAATGTCCAATAATGTCTGATTGTTTTTTTCTGATTCTCCCTAGTCTTGATTGCTCCTGGGCCATCTCTTTGTCTAATGAGTATCATCTCTGATATTTCTTTAACCAGCTGTGCCTTGCCAGGTGAGAGCCACTGAACTCAGACTGATGGGTGTGAGTTCTCCCCCTGTTCCCAAGAGACAAGTAGGCATATTTGTGTGTACATGTATGTGGTTCCACCAGTACCCAGAAGTGACGGAAGTCCCAGAAAATTTCCCTTTCTCCCTTCTGGCAACCTCCCTGCCCTGCTTCCCCTTCTTTATTCTTCCTGAATGCCACGTACAGTGTATGGCATGTGCTTTGGGAGATGCACAAAGCCAGGTGTGGACTGTGGATGCTTTTATTGTGCAATGATGAATGCTGTCTTCTCCCATCCTCTCCTCCCTGCTGCTGAGCAGAGTGCTGCTAGTCATGTCCTTGATAAGAACAGGTTGCTTGCCAAGGACCTTACCTCTAGGGTAAGCCCAGCATCCTAGAGCCACCAATGAACCATTTTTCTCTGCTGATACCAGCCCTCAGTCCACCATGAACCATGCTGAAGATCTAGGAACAGCTAGAAAATACTAGACTTCTGAGTACAGGATGTTGTATGGCAAAGGTTATCTTTTGGGAGATCAGAAGATGATGTGCCTATAGATGTATTCAGTAGAGCGTGCAGTGTGAAATTAATTCCATAGACCCTGTTTTCTTGATCTCTAACAGTAACTTTAACCACAGAAAAATTCCCACACTCAACCCCCTAGCAATGGCCTTGGCTAATGTGACCTGGACTTAGCACCATGACCCAAACCCCACTGTGATCCTGACTCGATAGTGGCCCGTACAACAGTGAGCCATACCTGACCATAGCTGACTATAAGCCATATGCACAAGCATGTACTATAGTCCTAGGGGATTGCATTATCTTCCTATCATTCTAGTTCTTCAGTTCTAAAGCCTAGTCCCCATGCCTGACATTCTCTCTAGCCTCCGCTGCCCACCCATGGCAGTAATTCACCCCAAACTTTAGGTCGAGGACATATCCCCCCAGACCTAGTAGAAAGCTACTTGATTTGGTTAGCTCTAGTGCCTTTGTATTCCTATCCAAAAAAGACAAGAACTGGGTACCAGTCCTTATCATATCTATTCAATCCTCATGTTATTTATGAATAAGCCTATACCTTCAGCCCTTGCTACCCCAAAGCCTGATTCCAGCCTTAACCATAAACTATCAACCAACACTCCTCCAAACATAACCCGAAGCCTTCTGCCTCGCTGGGTACCAGCACTCGGGCTTGCCCGGAGGGGCAAAGGAGGTGGTGCTCTTTAGTCCTGGGTGTCCCACTCCCAAACCCTGACTTTAGTGTCTACAGACCTGACGCTCTTTATGTACTGGTCCGTACTTCTGAACACCAGAACCATTGACTCCACTAGCCTCAGCCCTCATGACTGTGTTTCTGTTTCTAAGGCCTTTGCTGGAGTCCAGGCTGGGGACAGCCAGTGGGACTTGTGCAGGCCACATTTTAGTCTGTCTCTTATACACAT